CTGCCTTCCCTGTCACAGTTTTTTTCCGTGCTTATTCCTAATGTTGTGTCGTGTGCTCCTTCGAGCGGCATTCATGAAAACCCTTCACACTCCACACTGTCGTTATCACCCCCTTCACCCTTGTGATAAGAATGTTGACCAGAGTCTGTCATATTGTTACGTAGTCCTTCCCTGGGTCCTATCAGAGTCTCCCTCTTGTGAACGGAGTCTGTCATATTGTTACGTAGTGCTTCTCTGGGTCCTATCAAAGTCTCTCTCTCGCCCCATCGAATCTGTCTGCTATCTCCCTGGTGCATGTATTTCACTCGACCCCTGCCCCCCCATCTGTGCTATTCGAGACGTAATTCGTCCACCACTTGCACCTGGGTGACTACTTCGAGGCTCAAGCCTCAGATTAAGTCTAATGGTCAGGCCACACCATCTTGGTCTTCATACTTTCAATATAGGCGATTGTTATAGTAAATATAACTTTATTTCATCAACACTCCCACCCAGAATTGTGATATTGGAAATTCATTCTTTCATTCTTTGAAATTCATATCTGCCCTATGACCGAAGGTCACTCGTGGTAATGTGGCTGAGTGGGTAACGTGTCGAGCTAATATGCTGCACTGTCATGGTTCGAGTTCCACTGGGGGTGTTGATAGGACCTAAGGGAGGTCTAAACTACAGTCCACCCTGGATGGGAAAGCAAGGCTATGTGAAATTGAATGGAAAGGTCAGTTCTACTCATACGATTTTTGGAAAATGCAATTACTATTCCTTATCGCCTTAAACGAAATAGGATGAATACATCTGATTTCATACATTTCATACATAAAAATGACCTACAGGTAGTCTAGAAAATCTACTAATAAGCGAAAAATAGGTAACCTATTCGATGGCTATAGCAAATATAAGCTTGCTTCATCGACGATCCCACCAACCTGACAGGAGGAGGGGCAAGACTTTTCTCATTGACGAATTGTAGTGTGGTGCTTTCAGAGACAAGGCTCCCTGACGATGCCGGTGAAACGTTTAGGAATGTACTAAGTCCACGGTCCGACTCAGGAAACTCTCATTCATACTATGGACTCTAGACAAGTTGCGTTCCTTTATGTCTTCTTGTCCAATATAACCAAGTTACAAAAACAAGTTCAAACAACTACTAACCAAGTTCTTGCTGATAGCCATGAAACCTAACTATAATAAAAAAGAATTGACTTTGTTGATTGAAATGAT